CCGGGTAGAGTACTGGGTCCCGCAGCCATCTGAGGAGTGCACCAGTGGATGGAGGATCATTCTCTCCCTCCGTCTCTTTAAAGATTAAAATATATCTTTAAAATATTAGAAGCTACGGGGCCGGTGCAGTGGCACAGTGAGCTAATTCTGCACGTGCAGTGCTGGCATCCCCCACGGGTGCCCACTGGAGTCTTGGCTGCTCCACTTGACCCAGCAAAGGAAGCAGCAGTGGACGTCTCAGGACCATGGGACCCTGCACTCACGTGGAAAACAGAAGCTCCTGGGACCTGGCCCAGTGGCTCAAATGGCTAATCCTCCACCTTGCAAACCCCAGCATCCCATGTGGGCGCTCAGTCTGTTAGGGTCCAGGCCAGAGCTCCCCCCGGATGTCAGAGTGCGAGCTGGTCAACCCCCAGAAAACGACAAAGAGTGTCGCTGGTAATGCAAACAGCAAACAGTTTATTGTGCCAGCATGCTGGGGTCAGACCGCACTTGGGGTGTGCAGGCCAGCCAAGCAGATCGGACCCCGGGTAACATAAGGCTGGAGCTTATATACCCCGTTTTGGCTGTAACATACATCAAAGTCAAAAGTAACAAATTTAGATTATGTGGCTCCCGGTGCAAGCAGTCTATTCCGTTCTCACACTCATTATTTACGTTCCCACACTTATTGTTTATGCTCCCACACTTATTATTTACGGCTCATCCCATCCTGGCACCCTTATCTTTATGGCTCCTCCAGTCCCTGGGACCAGGGAACTGTGCCCCTGCCTTCCTGCACCCGGGTTAGTTGATAGGTAAGGTTACAGAGAAACAAGGGCACAGATTCATGCTAAAGTGGAGCTTTCCCACAGTGAAAAAAGTGGAGCTTTCTGACCCAGCGAAGTAGTGGCTTCTCACCCCAAAGGGCCTAATATCACCTAATGCTAATATTCTTAACATTCTAACATACTAACATTATCCCAACACCTGACAAGTCACGCCCATCCCACCCAGCGTCGCGTGCTGGAGCCAGTTCAAGGCCTGGCTGCTCCACTTCAGAAGATTCAACCCATGCTAATGTGGCTCAACCGCTTGGGTCCCTAGCCCCAAATGGGAGACCCCGAAGAAGCCCCTGGCTTCTGACTTCGGTCTGGCCCAGCCTCGGCCACTGGGTTCACTGGGGGATTGAAGCAAGATCTCTTTTCTCTAACTGCCCTTCAAATAAATCTTAAAAAGAAAAGATTCAAAAGTAGCAAAAGATAGACAAGAAATCCTAACACAAAAGGGGATCCTGTGAGGGAGCACTGCGGCTGCGGGGCAGAACGAACACGAAGATCTAACCTTCAGGAACAGCGTCGTGGACTAAAACAAGGCCCTGAGAACTCAGACTCAACGGCTGCATGCGAACCTGGGAGCGCCAACCCCAGCTGCCAACCCCAGCTTGGATTCCAGCGGACTGCGAGGATGGGGAGACAGGCACCTCCGGGCATCCAGGCACGGCGGCCAGATGAATCCCACGCCGCCACTGGGCATCCAGGCACGGCGGCCAGATGAATCCCAGGCCGTCCACAGCCAGCAGAGCTGACCGCATGAACGAGCTGGCAAAGCATGTGCTAGCGGCCGGGAAAGCTACCAGAAGGGAGGTGTGCTGAGCGCTGCCCTGGCTCTGTGGCCCCTCCATATGCAGTGCCACCCGAGGCTGCCCCAGGCTCTCCTGGCGACCCTGCGGCTCCTCCTCCTCCCTCCTGGCTTGTCACAGTAGCTCCTGCAAGGCAGGGACCCTTGGGGGGACACAGCCTGTTCAGAGGCAACACCCCTGCCTCTCGCACCCACACGGTCCAGGCCACTGACCTTACTCCGTCCAGAGCTGACGGAAACAAGAGCCAAGAGAAGGGTCCTTCCTTGACTTGGGAAAACATCCATTTGCTGACGTTTTCATTCTACTTTGCAAAACCCTGAAGACTGGAGCTGTTTGGGGGGAGGCGGAGTGAGGGAGGCAGGCTGCTCCAGGCTCCCCTCAGTGCTCAGTCTATGAGCAGCCCAGCAGGGGGAGAGGGTGCCCCAGAAGGGGGACCCCAAAACCTGCCGCAGGCCTGTCCTGAGGCTTGGTCTCCTCAAACTCCATTCCAGAGAAATACGAGAAGCCCAGGTTCGACCAGAACGAAAAGCTGAGCATGTGGCTCCACAGCATGTACGTGTTCTTCGTGCACGTGCTCTTCGTGGCTCACAGGCGGGAAGAGACCCTCACGGAGAAGGTGAAGGAGAACCGGCTGCTCGAGGAGGCAGTGGCGCGGCAGCGGAGGATGGAGGACGAGGAGCTGGAGGCGAAGTAGGTGCCCCCCCAGGCCCTCGCCGCTGCAGACATCACACAGGCCGCGGGCTCCTACGGGAGTCTGGTGCAGTAGCCGTGGTTCCTGGCTCCTGCTGGGGCCCCGCAAGAGTGATGGGGCGGGCAGCGCCTGGTGCCCACTCGCTCCCAGTTCCGGGTCTGAGACCCTCAGCGTGTCACAGCAACTAGTCCTACGAAGGCTGTGGCAGGGGCCTGGACGGTGTCCCCGGGGTGGCTGCCGGAGGAGCCCCCTGCGGGACGCTGGCACCTCCAGCATCACCCCCACCCCAGCCTCCAGGCTGAGTCAGGTGGGAGTCAGCTGCGGACAGCTAACCACCAGCAGACCCTTCTGCCTCTGAGGCAGGGGAACACCCCGGAGCAATGGACAGCCCCCCTGCCCAGGGAGACCCCTCTGGCTGTGCCTGCCCCCTTCACACACTGGGAATCTCGCGGGGCCCATGCCAACTGTAGGGCAGTCAGGTGTAGGTTGCCCTGTGGCCTTCGCGTGGGGATAGGAGCTGCACACTCTTCCCTCACGTCCTCACGCCTGAGAACCTGGGGCTCATTTGGGCACAGGGAGGCTCCAGGAAGTGATGGGTGGCTGAGGGCATGGGGACAGCGCAGGGATAAGTCGAGGCCACCTGGTTCAGTACAGGCCTGTGACGTCACCTCCTTCCATGTGCCTCGGCCTCCTCCTCTGGCTAGTGGACATAACCTGGCCCGGGCCCGTGGTGCGGTGAAGCAGGTTCCCACCTGCCCAGGCCGGGGAGATGGGGATCCCCCTCAGGACCCCAGGCAGGTGGCTCAGCTCTGCCTGGGAGCACACACTACGACACACTTAGAAGGTCTTTGGCCAGGCCGCTTTCCCTTGGAGCTACGTGGCTATATCACCATGACCGCATGTGAAGGCAGGACGACTTCCGGCTACAGCTCACACCACACAGCCTGACTGGGTGCCACACCCCAGCCCCAACTCCCAGCTCCAATCCTGGCTCTGCTCCCAGGCCAGCTGCCTGCACACCCACACCCGCACTACCCATGCGGGAGACCCAGATGGGCCGCCAGGCTCCTGACTTCCGTCTGGCCCAGCCCTGGCTTGCTGCTGACATTTGGGGAGGGACCCAGTGGTAGGGAAACCTCTCTCTTACTACCTTTCAAATACATTTTTAAAAAGTGGGCGGGAAAAAAAGGTACTTTCTTTGCTTGCTTTTTAGGCTGTCTCTGTTACAAGAGGAAGAGGCCAAAAAACAAGACCAGGAGATCAGCATCATGGTGCTGAAGGAGCCAGTGGACGCCCCGCCCGCAAGCCAGACGCCCAGCCCCCCCAAGGAGGACGCAGCTGTGCCCCAGGCCGGCAAGGCCATCGCGGGCAAGAAGAAGAAGAAGTGAGGGCGCCCAGCGCTGTAGCGCACCACAGCGCACCGCCTACGACCTACTGCCCGCCTGCCACCTGCCCGGCTCCTGGGGCTCCGGGGGCTCCGGGGCTCTAGGTGGACAGACCACACCACAGACGTGTCTGCGCTCTAAAATGAAAACCGATATGAGTGGATGGTAAATGCTTATTAAACATGTTTCCAAAGCATCAAGGGATGTACTGGTGACTCAGTTTACAGTCTGAGAACATGGCTCAGGTGGATCGGAACATGTGCGGGATGGGCAGAGCTATGGCTGTTTCCTGAGGCTGCTCTGGCCCGAGAGGCTCCCAGCACTGTCCCCGCAGCAGCCCCTGTGGGCGGCAGGAAGGTGAGGCGCAAGGCAGGTCTGCCACAGCGGGCAAGGGCAGGCCGTAGTCCTGGGCAGCTCACTCAGTTTGTGCGTCCGAAGCACCCCCGGGCCCCAGCACACCCCAAGCCCAGGGCATTAGGGCGGATCAAGGGAGACGCTCACCTTTGTCCAAGGGAAGCTTCTCAGAAACCACAGCGAGGCTAAAGCTAAAGGCACAGGGAGGGCGTCCCGGGCAGTCAGCTCTGTCGGCCACAGCAGCCAGCAGCGCAAGGCAAAGCAGAACCTACACGAACAAAGATGGCGAATAACCAGGAACCCGAGGGTAGGAACAGCGCTCGGACCCCGGGGGAAATGGCCGCAGTGACAGAAGTGACAGGAAGACCCCGGAGCAGCAGAGAACCAAGAACCCTGACCCCACACGGACAGGAGGCAGAATGCAGCCCAGGAGAGGCCAGCCCCGAACCCGCCAGCAGCCCAGCACCATCTCGGCCACGCCACAGACCACGATGCAGCGTGGGGCTGTCGGCAAGCAGGGGCGGCTGGAAGCAGAGCTGCTGCCCGTGGAGCCCCGGGCCAAGAGGCCAGCACGGCAGACAGCAGGCCTGACACCGCGGGGACGGCAGCCGCTGCCCACTGCCCTCCCGGGACTCAGAGGGCATGCCCGAGGGAGGCCACGCGGGCACCGGGTGCTCCTGGGGCACCAGCCGGCAAGCTGAACGCTTCGCGTGGGGGGCCGCACTGGCACCTTTGCTGAGTTCTTGGCACGGGTGTGCTCTGGGGGAAATGAAAGCCGGCAGTTGTTCTGGGCAAGTGCCTCCCGGCTCCCCACTGGGGTCCCCTGACTGTGGAAGGGACCCCAGCTCTGAGGAGCTTCGGCAGCTGAACGAGTGTAACAAGCACGAGGGCTGGTGGGCCTGGCCTCCTAGTGAGCAACAGGGGAGAGACTTGATGCCAGACCAGAATGTTAAAAAGTGTAACAATTTATTAGTCTTATTTTCCAGTAAAATATTCACATAATGTCCAAATGGAATGATATAGAGCTATTCCCCACTACCTTGAGTCAATTCCACATAAATATTTAAAATCTAAAAACCTCAGGGGAGTCATCAGGCTGCGTAGAAATTTGATTCCTCAGAGCAAGTATTGCTTTACTCGTCATCCAGCCGCTCGGCAGCAGCCGTGGCTCGTGGGGTGAGCGGGCGTGGGCGAGCCCACGCGTCAGTCCAGGAAGAAGATGTTGTTGAACTGCGTGGCACACAGCTTCTTCACCTCTTCTGCGGAGAGAGCAGATGGGGTCAGCAAGGAAGCGCTCCCCCACGCCTTGGGATTTACTTCCTGAAGCTGTCGGGCATAAAGCTGAGAGTAAAGAAAGCTTGTGTGAATCCTGACCGGAAATCCCAGCAGCTTAGGGAAGAAACTGAGAGAAAGGGGGAAAAAAAACACCTAGCAGACCATGAGCGCTGGGACTTGACAGCACCCCCAGCACTGCAGCCTCCTGTCCCGCCCGCAGCCCGCCCGCAGCCAGCCCGCAGCCCGCCCGCAGCCAGCCCGCAGCCAGCCGAGAGGCCCTGCAGCACTGTGGATGAGGTGGAGCACTGAGCAGGAGACAACACGGACACCTTGCACGCCCGTCACTTGATCCCAGGGCCAGTGCTGTGGGGTAGTGTATGAAGCCACTGCCTGTGACACCAGCATCCCATGGGGCACCTGTCTGAGTTCCCGGCTGCTCCACTTCCCATCCAGCTCCCTGCTCAAGTACCCGGGATGGCAGTGGAAGATGGCCCGGGGCCATCTGTGGCCCCTGTGCCCATGTGGGAGACCTCAGGAAACTCCTGACCCCCGGCTCTGGCCTGGAGCAGACCCAGCTGTTGTAGTCATTTGGGGAGTGAATCAGAGGACAGAAGACTCTGGTAACTCTGCGAGAGCCATGTGGAGTCGGGCAGTCACTGAGCGGGGGATGCGCTATTACGTGAAGACAGGTGCAGGGCATCTCCCTGGCCGTCACACTGCTTGCTCCAGTACTCAGTGGCCCGCTCAGCAGGGTGGTCCGACCTGGGCGAGGGGGCTGTCAGGACCCCAGGAGCAGCTGCAGGGTCACACAGGGGACCAACTGAGCACACTGGCTGGAAGCTGGGGCACGCCGCTCCTTGCCTGTTTCCTCACACTAACGTCAACAGCAACTGTGCGTCCTGTGTCTTTATCACAGGACATCCAAAGGGATCCTGAACAGAACTGATTTGAGAAGCAAGAGTGACACAAGACAAAGGCAGGCATCCTCTACCCCTCGGTACATGTCCCAAACAGGATTAAGTAAACTGGAACTGGCACCGCGGCATGCAGGTAAAGCTTCTACCTGCAGTACCAACATCCCATACAGACACTGGTTCAAGTCCTGGCTACTCCACTTCCCATCCACTGAGCTACAAATGCACCTGGGGAAGCAGCGGAGGAAGACTCAAGGCCCCGGCTTGTGCAGCCGTGTGGGAGACCCAGAAGAGGCTCCTGGCTCCTGACTACCTCACTTCAGGCCGTTATGGTCCTTCTCAGCGTGAACCAGCTCCATCTCTGTCTTACCTTCTTTTGGTAACTGCTTTTCCAATGAAAATAAGAAACTTTTTTTTTTTAAAGATTTATTTATTTTCATTGGAAATCAGCTTTACAGAGAGGAATCGTCTGTGTGCTGGTTCACTCACCAAGCGGTCACAACAGCCAGAGCTGGGCTGATCCGAAGCCAGGAGCCAGGAGCCTCCTCCGGGTCTCCCACACAGGTGCAGGGTCCCAAGGCTTTCAGCCGTCTTCAACTGCTTTCTCAGGCCACAGGCAGGGAGCTGGATGGGAAGTGGAGCAGACGGGACATGAGCCAGCATTCATATGGGATCCCAGTGCATGCAAAGCAAGGCTACCACACCAGGCCCAAATGAAACTAAATCTTTTTTTTTTAAAGGGGGTGTGTTCTAGCTTAAAGTTTCAGGGCTTCTGTGGTGCTGAAGTTAAACCACTGTGTGTCCCTGACACCCATGTGGGCACCTGCTATGGCCTAGTGCTCCACTTCGAGGCCAGCTCCTTGGTCATACACTTTGGAAAGCAGCACCAGTGGTCATAACGCCTGGGACCTGCACGCACAGGACAGACCTGGATGGAGCTCCCGGCTCGCGGTTTCTTTCTGGCCTGGCTGCTGCGGCCATTCGGGGAGTGAGCAAGCAGGTGCAACATGTCTGCCTCTCCTCTTTCTGTAACTCTACGTTTCAAATAAATAAGTAAAACCTTAAAACATCAAGCAAAGACTTGAGTCAGTGTGTCCCTGTGCCTCTCCCAGTGCTGACGAGCCAGCCTTGAGCGCCAGGCGCCCACCTCCCAGTACTGACGAGCCAGCCTTGAGCGCCAGGCGCCCACCTCCCAGTGCTGAGTCAGCCTTGAGCGCCCACCTCCCAGTGCTGAGTCAGCCTCGAGCGCCCACCTCCCAGTGCTGAGTCAGCCTTGAGCGCCAGGCGCGCTCATGTGCCATTTACCGTTGACTTCAATGAGGTTTGCGTTTTTCTGATTCAAAATAACATACAGCTCCCGCTGGTCTGACTTCTTGCCGACCACCCAGTAGTCGCTCATGGCCTTCACGATGATTTCTTCATCCTCATCCACTCTGTAAAACAGGAGTGTCCATGAGGCAGACGGGCGGCCGGTGCAGGGCACACATTCCGACAGCAAGGACGGGCCAGGGCTGTGTGCACCTGCGGCCTGGGCACGCGGGCCAGCCGCAGCCTGCGAGGGGAGCTCTGGACACTGGGGCCCAGAGGGGTCCTCTGCTGAGCCCGCCCCGTGGGGGGCCCTGGCGTTACCTCGTGAAGTCACTGTTGATGTCCCCGAGGATCTTCATGAGGTCGGGGGGCACGGACGTGAGGGACACGCTGGGGGTTTTACGCATGTGGATGGTGCTCTTCTCGGCCAGGTTCATGTGGTTGAAGTAGATGAACTTAAACTGGGGCTCCTTCTCAGACCTGGGGGAACACGCCCACCTTGACCACCCCACCTCCCGGCGCAGCTGCGAGGCCCTGGGGCCCGGCACCCAAGGACAGTTCCCTCACTCAGCAGCAGATCATCTGTGCAGAAGCAAAGTGTGCAATGTGAGGGAGTTTTTCAGAGAGGTGATGTTTTTCTTAAAATCCCAGAAATGGCCCAGTATGTGGCATACAAATAAGACACCACCTGCCATGCTGGCATCCCAAATGGGCGCTGGCTCCAGTCCCGGCTGATCCACATCCTATCCATTCCCTGCTAACGCTCCCGGGAAAGCAGCTGAGGATGGCCCATGTCCTTGAGCCCCTGTACCCACATGGGAGCAGCAGCTGAAGCTCCTGGCTTCAAATTGGCCCACTTCGAGCTGCTGCAGCCATCTGGAGTGAGCCGGTGGATCGAACATCTGTGACTCCCGCCCTCTAAATAAATAAATCTTGAAAAAAAAAAAGAAAAAGAAAAAAGAAACGTACAATATAAAGTACCCCAAATGTGTACTATAAAAACAGAGCAAAGACGTACTCTAGGTAGAGCCCAGGAATCACCCTGAAGGTCCCAACGGGAGGTGGGGAGGCTGGGAGAGCCAGCGGCGGGCACCCCAGGCCCCTGTCGGGGCGTCTCTGAGCATGCGGCCCTCCGCTGACGCTCTCCCAGGTGCGTGAGCAGAGAGGAGCATCGGAAGTGGAGCAGCCGGGACTCGAACCAGCACCTATGTGAGATGCTGTCCTGGGCCCCGCGTGATAGCGTAATGTAATTGCCTTGAATGCGCCAGAATCCCATATGGGCACCGGTTCTAATCCTGGCCAACCCATTTCCCATCCAGCTCCCTGCCTGTGGTCTTGGAATGCAGTAGAGGACGGCCCAAAGCCTTGGGACCCTGCACCCGCGTGGGAGACCTGGAGGAAGTTCCTGGCTCCTGGTTTCGGATTGGCTCAGCTCAGGCTGTTGCGGCCACTTGGGGAGTAAATCAACGGCCAGAAGATCTTCCTCTCTGTCTCTCTTCCTCTCTGTATATCCGCCTTTCCAAAAAAAGTAAATAATTCTTTTTTTTTTAAGAGAAAGGTTTTTTTTTTTTAAGATTTATTTTATAATTTTTATTGGAAAGGTGGATATACAGAGAGGAGGATCTTCCGTCTGATTATTCACTCCCCAAGTGAGCGCAATGGCTGATGCTATGCTGATCCGAAGCCAGGAACCAGGAGCTTCTTCCGGGTCTCCCACGCAGGTGCAGGGTCCCAAAGCTTTGGGCCATCCTCCACTGCTTTCCCAGGCCACAGGCAGGGAGCTGGAAGGGAAGCGGGGCTGCCGGGATAGAACCGGCGCCCATATGGGATCCCGGGCGTGCAAGGCGAGGACCTTAACCACTGCGCCATCGCGCTGGGCCCAAAAAGTAAATTCTTAAAAAAAAAAAACCCACTGTCCTGGGGGGAGAGATGTGTGGCAGGACACGCAGGGGTCTAAACGGAGGCTAACGGGCAGCTCATAGTACAATTTTCAACAAATGCCAGCAGCAGCTCCTTCTGGCCACAGCAGCACTGCCAGCCAGGCCCCTCTGGTGTAACCCGGGTTGTGAAGTTCACAGAGCCCTGGGGCAATTCTACCTCTGCACACGGTCCACAAGTGATGAGCTGCCCGGCCCGTGACCTCTGCACAGCCCGCCAGGGCCCGGGACGGGGACCGCACACCCACTCCAGCTATCATTTCCTAATTCGTGGGACCCAAAGCAGACTTCACGCACTCACGCATCCTTCAAACACAACCTTGGCATGGGCGTCGGGCCGAGCACTGAGGGCCCCTGTCCCACACAGGAGAGCCCATGCCCAAGGCCTGGCTCCCACTCTGGCTGCAGCTTCCTGCTAACGTGGGCCTGAGCAGGGCTGATGGCTCAGGTAACCCCAGAGCAGCACCACAAGATCTCCTTTGGGTAGAAATGTTCACTTGAGGCCGGTGCAGTAGCCTGGTGGCTGAAGTCCTCACCTTGCATGCATTGGGATTCCACAGGGGCACCAGTCCATATCCCAGCTGCTCCATTTCCCAACCAGCTCCCTGCCTGTGGCCCGGAAAAGCAGTCGAGGGCGACCCAAAGCCTTGGGGCCCTGCACCCGCATGGGAGACCCAGAAGAGGCTCCTGGCTCCCGGTTTTGGATGAGCTCAGCTCTGGCCATTGTGGCCACTTAAGGAGTGAACAAACAGATGGGAGATCTTTCATCTCTCCTTCTCTTTATAATTCTGACTTTCCAATAAAAATAAATCTATTACAAAAATGTTCACTTCTTGGTCTTTTTTTTTTTTTTAAACGAAGCAGGCTGTCAGCAATACACCCCCACGTGCTCAGCCTAGATCTGAAGGACTTTCCTCTGAACTCACAAACCGCACAGAGAATTCCGGCCTTCAGTCCCTTCTCGAAAGCCCTCAGGAACAGGCTGTTTACTGTCCAGAGGGCCGCCCACCTGCTCGCTCCTACAATACCCGTTCTTCACAGCCATCAGGGCTTGGTGAGGCGGCCAAGGGCCCGCAGTGGCCCACACCAGCTCCAGCACCTGGCCTCAAGCCCCCAAGCCGCCACTTGCTAGCGATTCCCCGTGGGCCTGCACAGCAGCTGGCGCGGCCATGCAAGCTGCTGCACCTGCTTGCTGCCTTCACAGAGCCACGCTGACCGTGCTGCCAGCACGGGTGCAGCCGCCTGGGCTGCCCAGGGCCTCCAGACAAGCCCAACACACACAGCTCAGCACCCCCAATCCCAGCATGCAGCCCACCCAGGGTGAGCTGAGGGGGCTCCTGAAGGACCCCCTCAGCTGCGCATCTGGAGGGGTATGCCTGAAGCCACAGGGGTGCTGACCCCATGTGCACTGCTGTTTGCATGCATACACAGGATCAGGTTTAACATGTAGGCCAAGGGCGGGAGGAGACCAACATCACTGCCAATAAAATGGAGCAATCATAGCAACTTTTCTAACAACCCCACATACGATCACGTCAAGGACGTTCACTTTTTCATTTAAGGAAGCGGACGTGGCTTCTCTCCGGCACAGGTGACACCGCACCACTGCCTTCAATGGATAAGACAACGAGACGGTCATTACGTGACCAGCAGGTTGGCAGCCCATACACCAGGCATGCTGGGCAGGACCCATCTCGTGAGAGATTTCATACGCTACCCAGAATACATGTAGCTTGCAGCTTTTGAACTGTTTGTTTCTGGAACTTTCCTGTAATATTTCTGGACTATAGTTGACATCCTACAGAAACTGCAGGAAGCAACGCTGGGTAAGAGGTGGGCGTTCCTGTGCAACTGTCCTCTCCATGCACTGAAATAGTGCTATGGTCAACAATCTTTAAAACCACCCTGCCCTTTCCAAGACCAGTTAAATGTTGAAAGTAAACATGAGAGGGCCTGGCGCGGTAGCCTCGTCCCTCACACGCACCTGGAGCCCACATGGGCATCAGTTCTAATCCTGGCAGCTCCACTTCCCATCCAGCTCCCTGCCTGTGGCCTTGGAAAGCAGTTGAGGATGGTCCAAAGCCTTGGGACCCTGCACCCGTGTGGGAGACCTGTAGGAGGTTCCTGGCTCCTGGCTCTGGATTGGCTCAGCTCTAGCCTTTGTGGCCACTTAGGGAGTGAGCCAGCAGACAAAAGGTCTTTGTCTCTGTCTCTCTTTCTCTCTGTAAATCTGCCTTCCAATAAAAATAAAAAATAAATCTTTTTTAAAAAGTAAACACAACGCAAAGTACGAACCCAGATATTCTCTTGTTGATGTTGAACTGCTCGCAGACGTCGGACGCCAGCACGGTGAGCTGGGGCCCCACGATGCTGTCCAGTCTCCGGCAGAAGTCCACGGTCAGCTGGGTGGAGGCTAGCGAGTGACGGAGACACTGGTCAGGGCCAGAGCCCGGAGAGCCAGCACCCCCCCAGGGCTGGGCCGCAGGTGACAGCTTCCTAACGGGCTTGGGAGTGGGGCGGGGCCGTGATGAACTAGATGAGAAGAGAAAGGCGCAGGCGTCCCTCCGGGACGTCACCCTGGGGTGCCTGTGAGGGTGGCGGGTCGTCAGCCGACCCCAGGCCGACCAGCAAGGTGAAGTGTTTAACCAGCGCTGCACAGCGCTCACGGGCCAGGGGCCGGCTGGCTGGGGCTTTACACACACAGCCTCCCTCGAGACAGGCCCGCTGCTGTCCTGGTCCACACCTGAGGAGCCACAGAGCCGGGCCCAGGCCCCACGGCTGACGAGCGGAAAGCGCTCCCGAGCTGCCTACAACAACGCGTCGCTTCCCAACAGGCCCCACGTGCGATGAAACGCTGCCGTGGCCTGAAGCCGGACCCGGGTGCACGTACCGTCAATCATGAAGCACACGGCTGCGCTCATGGCCTGCAAGAGAAGAGACCCGGATGAGCCTGGAGGGGGTGCAGGGGTCTCCCCCACGGCCAACTGCGGCCACGTGGGTGGGGGGGACACGTGTCCCCAAGGTGGTGCCGTCTGCTGGACAACCTGGCTCCACACACGCCCTCCCGCACTGGTCTAGGTGCAGGTGGAGGTGAGAGGGAGAGGTAAGACGCACAGGGTTTACCTGCAGCAGAAACACAGAGGGGCAGAGCCCAGGCGCACAGCGTGCCGGGTACGCACTGCGGTCCGCCATGCTTGAGTTTCTGGCAACACCGGTTAAAAGGCAGCCACAGGTGGGCCGGTCCCCACGGCAGACAGCTGCAGCCACGGTGTGGCGGGTAACAGTTAACCCACCACCAAGCAAGAGTATAAACGAACAGCCAAAACCCTTCAAAAGCAAAGATCATTTTAAATGACAGGAGGCCTAGCAAATGTAAGCCTAACAGTGAAAAGCCACAGACTTCCCCAGTACCCACACCTGCCTGAGAACCCAGGGCTACACGGCTCTTCAACCACCATCTTCAGATGTGGTACTGGCGGCTGGGACACGGCGGCCCACACACAGGCCACACCAATCCCCGTCACGGCTGGACACACAGCCACACACAGCCCACTCAGCTCCCACCTGGCCCTGGCCGGAGCCCCTCAGCTCCCTCCTGTCCCTGACTGGACCCAGCTCCCCCCTCTTAAGCATCTTCAGAAAGCGCATGGAAGATGCATATTATAGAAATTTCACCCCGAACTTCACTTTTTGGGGAGAGTGACACCAGAACAAACCTTTCAATTCAAGTTCGCACAAACTTTACTGCACAGCCTTTATATCAGCCAATATGTAGTTTCTACAGTCAAAGCAAATCACATTCACCCTAATTCATAAATAAATCGTAATTGTGATTTGCCCATAAACAGAGGGGAAAGCCTGTGGCTTACAGTTCCACTCAACGGGTTTTGTGGGCAGAGGACTTTGGATTTTGCTGCCGACCACCTTCGTGCCCACATTCCACTCCCCAGGATATGGGAGCACGGGTCCCGCCGGAAGGTCGGCAGTGGCTGGCGTCCCGCGGACCCAGGGAGGCCCCGCCTGGCCTCCGGCCTACTCTCCGGAGAGCTCCGACCCTCCCAGGGTGCAGCTGGCAGTGAAACCAGGCCATCTGCTTCAAACTCAGAACACCAAGGACGGCGGCGGCCACTTGTCACGACTGTTGAGACACTGGTGGAGATGCCGTGTCTCAGAGCCCGGTACCCAGGTACAGACTCCTGCCATGCTGACGCTCAGCCCTGAGGGTGGCAGGTGACCACCAGGCACCATCCTTGTGGGAGGCCTGGGCTGAGTTCCTGACTCCCAGCGTCAGCCAGGCCCTGCCAGCTGCTGCCGCTGAGGGCATTCAGGCAGGTGGGCGGCTGCGTGTTTTCAAATTAATTGATTAGCTAAACACAAAGAGTCTCACTTAAGAAAAAAGGTACATAAAGGGAATGATGAATTCATGCACTCTTACTGCCAAGGCACGGGCGTCCTACCCCACGCTCTCCAACGCTGCCAGGGCAGTGGCAAGGAGGCCACAGGGAAGCCACCAGCCACGGCAAAGGGAACCACCACTTAAACCTCCCAAACAAAACAGTACTAATGGCAGACGCCGAATGAGACTTGCTTTTCCCTAAAGCTCAGGATGAATACGATGGGCAATTTTTACAGATATAAACACAATTTTTAAAAAGATTTACTTATTTTTATTGGAAAGTCAGATATACAGAGAAGAGCAGACACGGAGAAGAAGACCTTCGGCCCGATGATTCACTCCCCAAGCAGCTGCAACAGCTGGAACTGAGCCAATCTGAAGCCAGGAGCCAGGAACCTCTTCCAAGTCTCCCATGTGGGCGCAGGGTCCCAAGGCTTCAGGCCGTCTGTGACTGCTTTCCCAGGCCAGCCAGGCAGTTGGATGGGAAGTGGAGCTGCTGGGATTAGAACTGGTGCACATATGGGATCCCGGTGTGCTCAAGCAGAGGACCATAACCACTATGCTATCGCACTGGGCCTTATAAACACAAATCTTAAAAACAAAACACACCGTAATGCAGGCCAGTGCTGTGGCAGCAGGCTAAGCCACTGCTTAGGACAGCCACACGCCGTACTGGGGCACTGGTGTGAGTGCCGCCATTCAGCTCCTCAGCAACGGGCCTGGGGAGGCAGTGGAAACGGGCCAAGCACTTGAGCTTCTGTCACACCACGTGGGCAACCTGGGCGTAGGACCTGATAGCCTAGGGACTGAATCTTTACCTTGCATGTGCCAGGATCCCACCTGGGCGCCGGTTCTAATCCTGGCGGCCCCGCTTCCCATCCAGCTTCTTGCTTGTGGCCTGGGAAAGCAGTCGAGGACGGCCCAAAGCTTTGGGACCCTGCACCCGCGTGGGAGACCCGGAAGAGGCTCCTGGCTCCTGGCTTTGGATTGGCTTAGCTCTGGCCATTGCAGCCACCTGGGGAGTGAACCAGCAGATGGAAGATCTTCCTCTCTGTCTTTCCTCCTCTGTGTATATCTAACTTTCCAATAAAAGCAAATAAATCTTTAAAAAAATCTAATATTAACAAAATTAATATAAACACACATTTTTATAATCATGTCCAAACAGACACCATTGTCCTGAGGGAATCCGCGCGTCCCAGCAGGCAGGATCCCCTGTGAGGGAGGCCAGGGCCCAGCCCGCGGGCTCTCAACCGGGAGCTGCAGCGCACACAGCAGCCTGAGCCTGCTCCTGCTGCATCGACCGTGCCTGCCCGAGGGCCGAACAAGCCCGCCCCGCTTCCCGGGCTCTAGATAACTAGAACTTTTACCATTTTTTTCCAAAAAACACGTAAGAAGCTGGTGTAGGATCCGAGACACACACAAGAACGACTTACTGTCCTGTTAACTTGTAACTCCAGAGGGAAAAGCAGTGTTACCTTATAAACGATTAAATGGAGCTCTTCATAGGTATCGTCTGTGTTGACAAAAATTTTGGGAAATCT